TTCACTGTCGGCCCTCCTTTACCCAGTTCCAATTACTGGCAACGCCACTGTTTTGAAATGTCCTGTTGAAAAAAAATGCATCGCATAACTGGTCTGTACCAATAGAGAGTTCAAAGGTATTTACCTACATTTCCCTCAATAAAACCTGACCTGACCTGGCCTGAATTACCACTTCTAACACCACACAAACTGTAGCAGCACGAGTTATTTGTAAAATCAACGCTACTCACAGTACTATTTTAATAATGAAATAGTTAAAGTGTGCGTGTTGGGATGCATATGACGCACTGGCATGTAATTAATAGGGGGTTTTCAAGGCATTGCCTATTACCCTCAGCAAATAAACTAAAAAAAACTATAGGATTCAACTTACGAGAAAGCAGACTAATGGAGGTTAAGGGAGGCATCAGCATTTTGTTGCGGCATTCAACCGTTCAGGTAGACATCGCCCGCACTAACCGGGGTATCGTATTTCCTATATTATTTACCTTATCTCATGCTCACCTGAAGCCTAGAGGTCACCAGCTGAATCAGCCGCTAGCTTTTAATATGATAACAGAAATTAAGAAATATTGCTGACAATGACAAGGACTGACTGAATCGTCTGCAGTTTTTATCGCGTACTCGTGGCTTGGTTACAGGATCGTTTAATTATTTAAAATCTGCCGCGGTAGCATATGGATAAACAAGATCGTAGGAGTGAAGCTAGCATTTTTCGAGCTCACTGTGAAAGAAAAGAGGGTCAATTAAAAAAAATAAATGGACGAAACACCGATTTTTCCGCACAAACAACCAATAGAAATGCTGAAAACGAGAGGTTCGCGAAAATTAACTGCACAAGGAGGATGAGTGACCGAAGACAGTTAGTTGTCAAATTGACTGTTCAATCCTAACATGGGACTTTTCGCGGAAGGAAGTTGACCACGTTGAGTTTGCATCCGAATGCCGGCTGATTAATCTAGACTATGCCGAAGATATTGCCTAATAAGGTGTAGGATTTGGTAATGTGCAGTTTATGAAGTGACGAGGTCGCCTGATGGCTCGGTTTATCGATAAACGCTGTGAAGAAGAAATTGCTTGTTTTTAGAAACATCAGCAACTTCAGCTTAATATTCAATTATCTTCTTGGAGATTCTAACTCAAGTTTGGGAAAGAAAACAAGGTTTTACGTGACAGACTTCTTGGACCATCAAATAACTAGGCCAGTTTAGAAAAAAATAGTGGTTCGTGTTTGGTAGGTGTGCGTGTGTGTGTATATAGCAAAAGGACCAAGGGACATACTTGAAGAGTGGCCCGATGAATTCGTTGACCGCTTTTTCAAAGAAATTGAACAGACTGGTGCCCTCGTTCACCGCCGCAAAGAAGGTCAGATTTGGTTCCGAGGTCTTGGGATCGTACGAGTTGATAGCTAGGGATAGGGGGCAGTAAAGACGAGGGAGAACAAACATGAGGTTGCGAACAGTCGGCGTTAAAAGGTAGGGTCACAAAGAATGAAAAAAAAAACCTACACTGCAGAGCAAGAGTAATGCCATAGTCGAGGTGCTCCGTCACGAGGAATCGCGACAGGAGCTCGTAGAGATGTTGGCCAAATGGGGCCCGTTCTGATGGCGGCGATAACTGAAGAGAAGAGATGTAAAATAGGAGGTTATTAAGAGGCC